GCATAGACATTATTAGTACTTTAGCACCATCTATTGGCAGGTTATTGAATTGGTGTGTAAAATGCCACATTAATCTTCTTTAAAGGGCTTGCAAAGAAAGCTTTTTTGTTTGCTTTTGAATAAAGATTCTACGCTAAAAAGAGTCAGAAGTCAATGCTTTTCTTTCTTTTTCCTCTTTTATCCTACACTTTTTCCTCTTCCCTTTTTCCTCCCTAACTTTTTTCACTATTTTCATTTTTCTTTCTATTTCGTATTTTGATAAACTAATTTTAAAAAAATGGAAATCACATCCACCACTAGACCTCCCAATCTTTTTAATCCAGTTCAATAGTTCCATCAGACATGATTACCTGCTCTGTCTCTTTTTTGTTGTTGTTCCGTTAATCAGGAATGCACCAAAGCCACATCACTCCAGTCACAAATGACAACAACTTCGGATGAATTCCAGTGAACTCAAAAGCAAAATGAATCCAAAAGAGATAAAAAGAACCAAGCTAACACATGAAACAAACCCAATACAGAGTACTTTCCAACAAAGAGATAAAAATATGACTCACGCACAGTCAAGGCAAGTTAAAAAATAAAACAAGACAAGACCTTCCTTGGTTGAGAAAGGGCAACTTGTAAACTTCAATAGTTTTACACCAAAGATTTTTACATGTGTTGCTGATAACACCAAGGCACAAGGAGTCCTTCTGCTGGTCTTTCTCTCTCCGCTTGCTGCTTTGGCCCCATCTGTCAGGAGATTGAGAAAATTGGGGATATCCAATTCAGCATAGTTTGTAACCCTGGGGCTGCAGTGAAAAGGAAAAAAAATAGTAAAATACTATCTGTTGTATGAAATCCACTCAGAGATTATTCCTTGCAGTGAAGCCTACATAATCAACATATTTTTACAATCATTACTAGCATTTGTAAGATACTGTTACATGCAGGGCCATGATAATATGAGTTACCTACACAAGCAGGGCTTGGGAAAATGTACTTGCCATACCTGATCCACCACACTGTCATTTCTCTTGTCCTTCTAACAGCTATGAAATTGTTATTTTTTTTTCCTATGGAGAAAAAGTAGTTTCTTTTTTACTATGGCAATGCCCATGTTTTTTCTGATACCAAGGTTCTGGGAATCAAAATCCAGGTTAACTCAAGTTAAGGCCAACTCGGAATCATAATTGCCATTGCTTCCTTTCTTTACACATAAAAAAAATATTTTAGGAATACCAAATAAAAATGTCGCCACAAATATTTTTCTCTTTCTTGCTGTTTCCTCCAATCTCTTTCTCAACATAAATTAATTGAGAATTTAGTTTTTCAAGTACAGATTTGAGGTAGATATTAGAAGATATTGCTAAGCAGCAGAACAGCCTTGATTTTTACACCGTTATTCCAGAAACCTGAAATATATCAGAATATAGTCAGGCAGGTAGATATTTATATTACAGAAATTGCCAGGCTATAATACTTATATGAAATCTCAGATCTCTGTCTCAAAACAAATGAAGGCTTAATTTGCATATGCCTAATTTGAAATGTACTGAAAAACCATAAGCAAAAGAATATAAAATCAACTGCATCGTTTCAGTTATAGCAGGGTGATGCGTATATGCATAGAAGTAGCATTATAATAACTATAAGTTCCCATAGTCTTCTTGCAAAGAATGTTTAGCGTAATTATTGGTACAATCGGACTGATAAGAGAAAGGAGTATCTTTAGCTCTTTGTTACAAATAGGTATTGTCACAGTGTGACACTAGAGGGAAGACAAGTATACCTTTTGCATCTTTCAATTTCAGAATGACAATTATAATAGATCAAGAGTTCTTAATCTTGAGGGAGTGATGGGAATCTTAACAACAGCTGGAATCACTCTGATAAATTTGAAGAAGCGGTGAATGCTCCAACATTGGAAGTTTTTAAGAAGAGACTGGACAGCCATTTGTCTGAAATGGTGTAGGGTTCCTGCCTGAGCAGGGGGTTGGACTCAATGACCTCCAAGGTCCCTTCCAACTACTACTACTACTACTACTACTACTACTACTACTACTACTACTACTACTTATTATTATTATTATTATTATTATTATTATTATTATTACTACTACTACTACTACTACTACTACTACTACTACTACAGTTTATAAAATGATACCTCCATCACTTCTTGATGCCTATATGCCTTATTAACCTGCTTATCTTTGTCTCCTTTTCTGAGCAAATAGATACAACTCCAGACTTAACAATAGATACAACTCCAGACTTAACAATGGACTTACTATTTTTTTTCTAAAAAAAAAGTTTATGGAAATCGGAGACATTCTTGAAAATAAAAACAAAAAGAATTGATACTTTGTTTTGCAGCATCCTAACCCTCCCCCCCTCCTTTCCTTTTTCTTTTTACTAAGTTGCAAAATTGCAACTTACTCAGATGGAGCAAGAAATCTGGGAGTATTTGTGGATAATGTCACCCCTGTGTGCCAAATTGGGGGTCCCAGCTGGACATTCATTTGACATCCTAACATTCGGGCCAGAAAACACCAATGAAATTAAGATGGTTTAAAGTCATATGCCATCTACTTTAAAACAAACAAATGAGAGTACCAATTGGGAGGCGAAAAAAATTGCCATTCTATATTCTGGTATTTCCCTCCTCTTGTATTTGTATCTTTCTCAGTCTGGGCAACACCAGGTGCTCTCTACTACTAGGACATTTTTTTTTTCCAGCAGGCAGAAAAAGGGATTCATACCACAGTATATGGGGAGGGGGAATCAGGTTGGGGAAAAATGCTGCATGGGGTCACCTTTTTTTAATCTGTGCTATAGAACATTTTTAAAGTGTACTTTAATACTTTCTCCTTTTGATTTCTATTGGTTTGGTGATAGAAATCAACAGTAGGGTTGCTTTAACCTTTCCTCCCCATGTGTTGAGTTTGAAACTCCCAGAATTACAAGCCAACATGGCCAAAGAGAGTAACTGGGTAAGGTCTCCGGCTGCCCAGAGAAAAGTCTAAAACTGCTCCTTCCATACTCCTCCTTTTCCTCCGGCCCGGCCTCTTGGCCATCTTCGCGTCTTCCCACGAAGCCTGGTGCTGCAGCTGTGGTTTAAGCCCGGGCAGATTTTACTTAGTCTTCGTAACAATCCGTAACTAAGTTTCGAAGCCGAAAGGTCTTTTCGGCCAGAATTTCCTTTGTGTGTTTTCACGCGCGACGCGTTCCCGAGAACCGCTACCTTTTCTCTCCCAAACACGCGCCTCGCATGCTGGAAATCGCGCCTCTCTGTCCGCTTGGGATCCTGGCGCCGTCGGAAGGGCCTTGCTCTCTGGGCCGAGGGAATGAGTTTGCTGCCTTCACGCATGGCTCAAGACCAGATGGCGATCATCACAGTGGACACTGAGAGCGACCCCGAAGAAACGTCCAGCTTCTCGGAGGCAGGTGAGTCAAAAGGTTTCCCGGTGGAAACCTTTCGTCCCCTCCCTCCCCCGGAGGCCCAGGGAAAAATATATATATATATAAATAAATAAAATAAAATATATATTTTCCCTGGGCCTGCTTGTTAGGGAGCGCTTGTTAGGGAGCGCGCTTTAAACCTGCTTGTTAGGGAGCGCCAGAATCCTTCTTAAGGCAAGGCTTATTTTAGGTCAAGGGAAGGTTTAGAAATAGCCCAAAGTTCTCATAGATGGGGATGAACTGAACAGATTCACCAGCCCAACTCTTCTCAGTGCTGGAATCCAGGAAAATATCACCCAGGGAAAAAACCCAAGGAAGGGAGGCAGTAGCTTCTTAGCAGGCTGTTCCACAGCTCTTGTTATCAGGAAGCGCTGCCAAATATTCAAATTTATTTCATTTTGACTTGTGGGTCCTTGTTCTGCTCTCGGTTTCAGAAGAGAACAACACTCCCACACTTTTTGCAGCGTGATGTGACTGCCTTTTGATATATATATATAGATCACTATTTATATACTGTACATAAAGGAAAAAACATTTAGTTTCTTTGGTTTTCAACTCTTTAACCTGTTATTTTATTTATTTATATCCCACCTTTATTATTTTTAACGCAAGATGGCAAACATACAGAATACTCCTTCCTCCTCTTTTTTCCTCACAACTGCAGTGTGAGGTGAGTTGGGCTGAGAGAAAGTGATTGGCCCAAAGTCACCTAGTTGGCTTTCCTTTTAGAATTTTGTTCCTTATTTTACTAAGTTTACAAAAAAATGGTTTTTTTTATTTAACTTTGGCCTTTGACCAAACATTTATGAATAAATTAATATAGACCCCTATCCTCTCTCTCTCTTTTTTTTCTTTTTCTTTTTTTGCAGCCTTAGCACAAAAGTTCCTCATAGAGCTTGGTTTCAGATCCCTTATCATGCCCCCGGAGTGCTCTTTTGACATTTCCTTCTGTTTCTCCATGTCCCTTTTCAAGTGCCAAGATCTAGACACAGTACTTCTGGTGCTGCCTAACCAGTGCAGACTTTATTACCTCCTGTAATTTGGTTACGCCACTTATGTTAATCCTGCCCAAAGATTGCATTGGCCTTCTGAGTGACTATTCTTGCTCTTGTTCACCTGGTGGTCTGCTAATACTACTAGATTATTATCTTTCGAGTGAGCTAACATACAAGGGTACCACAAATCTTGCTCTCAGGTCTGAGGATAAGGCATTTGTTGAGCTCCTGGTGCTCTTTTATGAGTTATTGTAAGGCAGGGGTGTCAAACTGCCGGCCCGTAGGCCGGACACATCACGTGGAAGCCATGCCCATGCCATTGCCAACAATGGCAAAACCGGCCCGATACATTGCGCGACGTCACGTGACGTCGCAAGTTTGACATGCCTGTTGTAAGGTATTTGTTGATCTTATCCAGGTATACCTCTCTTTTTTCATTCTTTTTTTTCTTTTTTTGTTTTTAAGTATATAGCCACCCTGGAGTCTCCTTGAACTTGAGCAGTCTTCTAAACTTAAATGAATAAAGAAACCATATAAATATTTTTTTTTCATGCCTTTATGAAATGTTCCTCCCCCCCCCCACTTTTCCATTCTCTTTCAGCTTTGACATTTGAGGATAGTTTTCCTGAGATCATCTCTGTCAGTTCACTGGAAGGAACATCTCCTGCCAGTCCACTTGGGCCAAACACAAGTAATGACTTTTTCCAAGTAGATTTAAAAGTTATGATGGAAGATAGATATTAAGAGGTGACACAAGCAGAAGATAAATAAGAAACGGGAAATTCTTGCCCTTCTATGTTTGGTGCAGCCATGACTTCCAGGCATCATCCCTGGTTGTATTAAGCCAGAAATAGCCACACAAACTAGCCAGAAATAATAATAATAATAATAATAATAATAATAATAATAATAATAATAATAACAACAACAACAACAACAACAACAACAACAATAAAGTTGGAAGGGACCTTGGAGGTCATCTAGTCCAACCCCCTGCTCAGGCAGGAAACCCTATACCATTTCAAACAAATGGCTGTCCAGTCTCTTCTTTGTGGCAGCTGAATGCAGGCACACTTACATCATCACCTGAATTTTGGAATCTGCACCTTGTTTTTCCAGCAATCATAAAAAACTGGAATGTGGAGAGGAGATTGTTTCTTCAACTCTCTATCTGAAATGTGCTTAAGTATGAATAACTATGAGACAATACTGATGATGTTAGTAATGTCTAGTTCATGTTGAAATAACTCTTGTTTGTTGTTGTTTAGAACTTGAGTAATAACTCACTGTACACAGAGGGTTTTTTTAACTCTAAACAAGAACTCTGTTCATTAGTAAGATCATCCCTTCCTCCTTCAGTAATGCTCCCTATATACGAGGGCAATTCGGAAATAAACCTCTGTTTGGTTATCAATGACAGATGCTCACAGATACAGAACGTTTATTATACACATTAGAAAACTACAACATTACATTACTTTTTGACATAATCGCCATTCAAATTGAGGCACTTGTCATGTCTTACAAGGTTTGAAATTCCTTAGTAGTCACTCGGCACCAAATCTGGGCTATGGGGGAGGGTGATCAAAAACGTCCTAACGGAACTGCTTCACAAGTTCTTGAGTGCGTCTAGCAGTGTGCAGGTGAGCATTATCGTGAACCAACCCCACACCGGAAGTCAACATGCCCCGACGCTTGTTATGGATGGCTCATCTGAGTTTTCATAAAGTTTCACAGTAGAATTCTGAATTGATGGTTGAACCACGCTCCATGAACTTCGCTAGCAGTACTCCTTTGGCATCTTCACATTTGGCGGGATTTTCCATGGTGCCACTCCCGGTGTGGTGTTGGTTCATGATAACGCTCGCCCGCACACCGCTAGATGCACCCAAGAACTTTTGAAGCAGTTCCGTTGGGATGTTTTTGATCACCCCCCACATAGCCCAGATTTGGGACCAATCGACTGTTACTAAGGAATTTCAAACCTTGTAAGACGTGATGACAAGTGCTTCAATTTGAATGGCGATTATGTCAAAAAGTAATGTTGTAGTTTTCTAATGAGTATAATAAAAGTTCTGCATCTGCGAGTATCTGTCATTGATAACCAAACGGAGGTTTATTTCCGAATTGCTCTCATATATTATCAGAGATGTACGCTCTCTTCACCAGTACTGTTGGAACTGGTGTTGGCAGTTAATCTAACAAAGACAATGCCTCTTTCTCACATCTCTTTGTCACAGAAATAGCATTGGTGCTGCAGTGGTGAGAAACACACATTTCTAGTAGCTCTGCCAGCTACTCTAGGAAAAAGGGAGGGGTTGGCCTCACCTCCCCTGATCTTGTGAACAAGCTCACGCCCTTAAATCATGGCTTTAGTAGCAGATGGTAAATTAGGTGGGGTTTTGTCACATAGCCCATCATATTGGCATGATTTGGTTAAATAATTCAGTATGGTGAAGAACGCACATTTGACAGAGCCGGTAGTATTTACTGGAGAGTAGCAGAAACTTTCCACCTCTCTGTAACCTAGAGACAGCTCTAAGTTCTTGGAGGTGCATCATCCTATAGGAAAATGTGGCTACTTCCCTGCTTTGGATAGCAACTGAAATTGATAATGAACTGCATTGGAGTATCTGAGCTTTTCTCAGCTTGATGACTCCTAGATGAGCCAATGTTTCTCAATCTTGGCAACTTTAAGATGTGTGGACTTCAACTCCCAAAATTCTGGGAGTTGAAGTCCACATATCTTAAAGTTGCCAAGGTTAAGAAATACCAAACTAGACTGTAACTTCCATAATCCCCAGACATCACAATCTGTTTGTTTTTTTTTATTAGAGTTGTAATCCAACAAATCTAGAGGATGACAGTTTGGGAAAGTCCACCATATAACCTATAAAACAATGACTGGCACACATTGCTGCCCATGATGTGGACATATTGGTATAGAGTTGGGACAGAAAATTAGCTCAAAAAAAGATGGCTGAAGGATTCACTCTTATTATTTCTCTACATTGATAACTTTCAGGCATAATTGTGATATGCTTCCACTACATTTTCTGGAAGAAGGTATTTCCGAAACCTCTCCAAGTTCAAACATGTTGCCAGGAGGAATAAAGTGGACTGATTGCAACAGTTCAAATAAATTGATTATTTTTATCAGGCTTCTCCATTTTTATCAGACTTCTAGATTTTCCATACAGCATAAACATTAGGCCTTTTGGCTGGGAATTCTGGCTCTTGGAGCCTATTACAAGTGTAACTTCTGAGTTTGATCTGAAATGCAACTTAATTCTAAGAGATTTTTCATACAACCAACAGTGCTTTAAGTAAGATATGCATATCTTACTTACTTAAATTACTACATAATTAAGAAATTTCTTTTCCCTCATTATACTTTTAGTTGCATCAGTAGAGAGCTACAGTTCTCATCTTGAGATTTCTACAAGTTCTGTGGAAGAAATAAGCACCTCTAAGTTAAGCAAAGGTAATATCTCATTTGGTTTTTCCCAGAATGAATGAACATTTCTTCTGCTCAGTGCACCCTGAATAGTGACTAAACTTTGCATCCATGGGCTCTGAGTATATTGACTGCACTTTTGTACTACAGGTAGCCTTTATTTAGCAACCACAATTGGAACTGGCAACATGGTAGTTAAGTGAAACAATCGCTAGTTGAAACCGCAACTTTGCTTATGATCTTACTTCAGTTTAGCTTTGCTTTGCAGACTTGTTAATGTTGCAAATGTGAACATAATGTTGCAAAGTTACTTTTTCATCACTGTTATAATTGCAAACAGTTGCTATATGAAACAGTTGCTAAACAAGGACTACCTGCACAGCACAACATGAAGCAGAAAAAGCTTTTGACCTATAGGAAGTAACTGTGAGAAACAGAAGTATCTGTAGGGGGTGGCAGTAGAAGATAAATGACAAAAACTTCATTGTGTTGTTATTATCATTCTGCACTTTAATGGTGGGGAGTATGAGTTCATTTGGCCTGTGATCCAAAAGGTCCTCCTCACTTAGAACCTTTAAAAAATGTGCTATTGTACTGAATATAAAGAAAATAATTAACATTTTATTCAATATATATTTTACACTGAATTAGAGACTAATTCAAGTGGAAACTAATTAAAAAGCTCTATGTGAAAAGTGCCCATTCTTTTTTCTGTAGAAAATATTGCCCATGAAGTGAAATATAATGAGAGGCATATTGAAGGTGAGATATTAATGTTTTTAACTATTGATGCAATTGTTTTCGTTATTCTATTTTCATGAATTGCTGTTAATAGGGTGTCCATCCTTAGTCAAATGGCTTCCAAAAGATTTTTATGATTACAGCTTCTAGAATTATAGTTCTGAGCCCTGTAGAGAGGACTAGCCCTTCCTCCACTTGGATTCTAAATAAATTAATACAGTGCAATGCCCATTTAATTAGTCATTTTTGTCAAAAAAAATTGAGGCAATGAAAAAAATATTCTGTAGGTCATTACAGAAAAAGATGCAACAGGAAAAGTTGTAGTCCTATTAGGTACAAAATACACATATTTGCTCTTAAGATTATATAAAGACCCTATTCAAGCAGCCTTGCATTTTTACATCCTTTTCATACACATCTTTCTTTTTTAAACGATTGATGTTCCATATCCTAATCCAATCTTCATGAGTGTGTCCTATAAAATGCCAACTCCCGTTATCAAACCACAGAAATCTATGGCAATGATTACTAAAGTTAAATCTTCCTGATTTTGTTTTGTTTTGTTTGTCTGAAGATATCTGTATATGCTGTGGAGGGTTTGAGATTCACACACAACATCCTTTGTTCCATGGAGGAATGTGTGCTCCTTGTTCAGTGAGTAGCTGACAAACTTGATCACTTCTACTTCTGTTCTTTTAGCTTAAGTGGTACCCCTTCATTCAACAGAGTGAATCTTTCTGCTGGCCCTGGATTGTAAGAATTACTAGCCAGCTCCCTTCCAACTTCATTATTATTATTAATATGGCACAGAGATGCACTATCTGAGACCGAGAGACTGCAGAAATCCTCCAAAAGCCTTCAAAAATTGTTTTTGCTGCTGTGGTGTTTAATGTGATTAACTGGAGATTAAGCAATCCTATATTTAATCATAAGTAAATTCCAGCTGGTGGGGTCTAGTAGAAGTGGGTTCTCTGCCATGGCTTCTGCTCTTTGGAACATCTTGCCTCCTGGGATGAGGACTGCTCCCACCCTCCTGATCTTCCATAAGGGCCTGAAGACCTGGCTTGGGGCCCCAATGGGGAAGTTTCATGCTGGAGGTGGTTGATAGACCAATAGCAGATCCCATTTTCCCCCCCTGCACATCCTGCTCCCTCCCTCTCCATCTTTTAGTCATAATTAGTATTTGTGTTGTTATAGATATTTGTGTTTGTGTGGTTTTACGTTGTAAGCCACCCAGAATCACTTTGTGCGAGATGGATACTAAACAAATTAAATACATAAATAGATGTAATTTCACTTAAATGAAGTGGAAATAATACAAATTTTTTTTACAACTTTTTGTGCATGATCCTTGCACGCTGTTCAAAACTTACAGGTCAGAATCCCTGCCTTAGTGAGTAGAACTGTTGTTTACTTTTCCAGACAAAGTAGAGCTCTGAAATCAGGCTCTGAACAAGCCTACAGAGTCCTATCACAAAACTAAGCTGTGTTATAATTTAACTCTGACATTAAGCCACTTCAGTTCTGTTTTGTTCTTTTGTTCTGCTTTGTTTTAATGCTTTATTTTATCTGAAAAATTAAGAACTCGGGCATATAAAAGAAACTATAGGATGATTTGAAGGAAATTGTTCCCTTAATGGGGTTCATTTAACCCAGAGACCAAGATACCATTATACTGAACCACAAATTAGAGGCAAAGAAAGGTTTAAAGGCATGTGGAATTACAGACTTATGTACATTAGAATATATGTGTGATTGAACATAGTAGCAAGGTATTTAATTGGGTAGAGACAACAGCAAATATTTGATTGGGTCATATTCTCAGGAAGGTCAATTAAATCATGGGGTACAAACATAAGATAATGAGACAGGACTATAAAACCAAGAGGGTTGGGCAAGGTTTCATTATTGTTTTCTTTTTAAGGAGTTGCTTTTGCTTTCCTAAAGCTCTACTTGACTCCTAATATTTTTTCCTAGCTTATCAACATTCCCTGACCTTCCAAATATTTTATGGCTACGCTGACATTTTTAGTTTCCTTGGGACAGTATATTTGGATTACAGGCTTTCAACTGACTTCTAATATTCTCCTTCAGTATTCTTTCTCTTTCTCCCTTTTGATACCATTAACCATGGTATTTTTCAGGACTCACCCTGGGGGGGGGCACTGTATTGTGCATTTCTCCTCATTTTTGAGGGGGCATTTAAGTCAACATGGAAGGGGGTGAAAAGCTTTCTCCAATTCTATTCAACATGCTGTAAAGATGAATCTACTGGGAGAAGTCATCTATCAACGCAGGATTAGGTGTTATCAGAATCCTTATGATACCCAATTTTATATCTTGATCCTGGGTCAAAAAAGCAATATGGCTGAGAAGCAATTAGTGTTCCTTGAAAATAAGCCTAAAATGCATGTCTTGTAGATGCTAACTGAAGTAGCAATAGAAGAAGTTAGTGGGAATGATCAGAGATATTATTGGCATTATTGGTAATACGTATTTAGTATTAGTACAGTAGTCGTTTACAGCATCACTGGAAATGCCTAACAACCCCAGGAGTATTTCTAAATAAACTATATTCAAACTTCACTTCCTATTTATAAAATAAAACAATAATTTTAGCCTACAGTATTTTAAAGTGTTATTGTATGACTAGCATGAAGCATGTGCATGTGTGAACTACGAGTAAACAATATTATGAATTAAATTCATACATTAAGTTCATACATTTGCTAGTGAGGCAAATCTCTAATAATGTGTGATCATTCAGCATGTCACAAGTGAGTAATATCCAAACGCTACAAATGAAAGTTTAAAATGCTACAAAATGTGAAGCTGAAGAAGTCTTTGCCTTGCAATGATAGGATTTTCTGCCTGAGGGTTTCCTGCCTGAGCAGCGGATTGGACTAGAAGACCTCCAAGGTGCCTTCCAACTCCATCATCATCATTATCATTATCGTTGTTGTTGTTGTTGTTGTTGTTGTTATTATGTAAATAGTATTATGAATTAAAATAGTATTATGAAGTAAGTTTTATGTCCTTTCTCCTTTTTTAAGGAAAGGTTTTTGGAAAGATTCTTCCTGTGTGACGATGATGGATACCAAGCTGACTGTACCATCTGCTGCTGGGGCAAATCTCTAATAATGTGTGATCATTCAGCATGTCACAAGTGAGCAATATCCAAACACTACAAATGAAACTTTAAAATGCTACAAAACGTGAAGCTGAAGAAGTCTCTGCCTTGCAATGAGACTTTAAATGGGAGGGGGTGATAAAACATTCTTTTACTTTTACTTGATGGTGCATGTATTTATTAAAAATCATTGAAATGGCTAAATGGAAAGTTGGGCGCGATAGCAGTAGTAATAATTTACTGTTACCATTCCTGTAACAGATGGTTAATATTCCACCTTAATTGCAGTCCTACCCAGTTAATCAAATTAACTTCATGAAACCTTCGTTTTTTTCTGATTTCTGTTGTTTTTCCATTCATATCATAATATTGATCTATTTTGCTGGATGTGCTTCTTTGACAGCAAAGTGATATGAAATAGAAGGAGGTGCTCTTCCTTATAGGGAAGGAATCATCATGCAAAAAAAACCATTGACTGATCTTTGCAGTTAAGGCTATTACTAAGACTATTCCCTACTCAGGTCATTTTTCTTGGCAGTTAGTAACTCTAACAACAGATAAAAAACTATATCTCTAGATATTCCTGAACTATAAGTTCAGGAACCCCTATCAACACATTCAGTGGCAAAGTATGCTGGGACTTAGTTCGTGTGCTTCCTCCCTGACTTCCGCCATACTGAATTGTATACTAAATTTACATAAAGTTTTGTTATAGATTTTAAGAGCCTTTTGCATATTCTTGAATAGTGAAACATACAAAATATCTCAAAGGTATTTTCATAGCACTTCTTGAGACAAGTAAATTCCTAAATCTATGTTATAAAAAGGCCCGATCTATTTAACAGAATGCAGTGGGGCTCAGCTCAAACAGTACTTTGTGCCTTTAAACAATTTTATTTTTAAATTTATTTAGATGCTTTTGTGAAGAATGTGTGGATACCCTTGTTTATCCTGGGTGTGCAGAAGAAATAAAAGAAACAACTACCTGGATATGCTTCATATGTGCACCCCAGCATGTAAATGGATTGCTAAAAAGGAGAATAAAATGGCGTGCAGATCTGAAACATTTCCATGATCAAGAATCTGTAAGCGAAAGCTTGTTTAAAAATGTTCAAGTATTGCTTGGCTTTAAATTAACTGTAAATTTAAATTAACTGCTTAAATTGTGTTATTGGACCTGATGTGGCCTTATTGTACCCATGTGATATGTTAATAATTGAAGTAATTATTTCTAAAAATAAGAGAAAATGTGTGAGTTTGTAATTGTTGTTACTGGATTATTTGTTTTATTGATTGTGTTAGAACAGCCCTAATATATGGATATATCAGCTATTGTCTCCATGGGAGAGAAAGTCAATCCACGTTCTTTCACTTTTTGACAATATTACAGAAGGTAAGTAAACAGGTACAGTAATATGGATATAGTTTCCAATCCACATACAGTAGACCAGAGGTAGTCAACCTTGGCTCTTTTATGACTCGTGGACTTCAACTCCCAGAATTCCTGAGCCAGCTGGCTCAGGAATTCTGGGAGTTGAAGTCCACGAGTCATAAAAGAGCCAAGGTTGACTACCCCTGCAGTAGACTATAACTTACTTGGCTGACTTGGTTCATTAGGAGCCAGCTGTTTTGCAAAGCCATTTTATCAGTCATGTTCTCTGCTGATTGCTGATTGCAGTCTGGATTTTATGAACAAGTGACTAGAAAATAGGGATAGTGATAAGGAACCCTTTAGATCTTTGTGTTAAGGATTGAACGGGATACCTTTGGACTTTTCCAAATCTGTTTCTTTATAGATCTTTATAAAGGATAATTTACATCATGAGCTGACTACATCAGCCTAAATGTTTCTGGGTTTCTATTTCATTTGCAAGAAGTATAAGTAGTTATAGATGTCCCCCCACCCCATACACACAAATTGCATGCAATATTGCCTTCTGAGTACTACTTTTAAATTTACAGTTGCTTCATTCCATGTTCATTGAAAAATAAATGGCATACTCATTGAGCCCATTGGTTTCTGTAAGAAATATTCAAGTGTCTAACTCCTGCTGAAATAATTTATTATGAAGAATATCAACTACTTACAAGTGGCATCAACCATCATTTTTGAATAAATTAATATAATCAATCAGTCAAACAAAAACACACTATGTAAATATTGTATGGTTAGCAGATCTGAGAACAATTAATAGCTAAACACATACCTCTCTTGGGCTGGGCCAGCTGGTGGTCGGCCTGCTCCGTCTCTGCTGCTTGCCAGCTACGCCTCAGCCGGCGCAGGGGGCGGAACCACGTATGCGTGGCGCTCCCGGGCAGGGAAAGTCCTCGACGTACGACCGGTTGGGTAGTCCTCGACTTACGGCCGGTTTAGTCCTCGACTTACGACCAGTTGGGGTCGCGGCATTAAAAAGGTTGAGAACCACTGCAATAAAGGAACAGTATTTAATTTAATCCACTAAAAACTCCTTTTTATGTGTCCTGTATTCTCCTACCATTTTACTCAGGAGAATAGTATACAGGACATACAACCACCTTCCTCGTTCCATGTTGTTTAACATAGTTTAATTGGCTTTAACAGGCACCTTTGAATGTATCCAAGACAAACTGAGATCATGTGTTGTACCTAATGTATCTTGCACTTCTCATTTCACTTCTCCAGAATTGAAAAGCTTGGGGTTTCTAGGGGAAAGGAGAGGCAATGGGTACCTAAAGTACATGGATGATGTCACAGATGTGATAAGAACAAATGTAAGTGTACAAGATGCTTTATACGACTTTTATTTTTCAAGGTAATAGTCAGTATACTATGAAGAGGGGGAGGTGTTTGCATTGATTTATTACATTGTGTGGATTGTTTTGTTGATTATTTTGAGGATTAATTTTCATATAGTAGAGATGATAAGAGGCCAAGCTGAAAGAAGGTAGAGTGGGGAACTGAATGTTTGGAAGAAAACATTGGCAAGAGAAGGAAGAGTTAAAGTAAAGATAGAAACAAAAGCTGAATTTGAAGATACCCTACACCAGACATGTCAAACACATGGCCCGCGGGCCGGATGCGGCCCGCAAAGTGGTTTCATGTAGCCCGTGAAGCCATCCTGGAAACAGTGAGGGAATGGCCTCCACTGCCTTGGCCCTCCAGTAGACCATGTGAGGCTCCTCCAGTGGACCATGCCTTGACACTTGTCCTAGTCCCACCCCCTTCTGCCATAGACCCTCAGATCTGTCCCACTCCTGCCCAGGCCCCCAAAGGCACCCTTGACACGAACAATTTAGAGCTGGCCATGCCCACCCAGTAGGCCACACCCACTCCATCCATGCCCACCCAGTAGGCCACACCCATCCTGGCCACACCCACCCGGCCCCCTGAGGGCAACCGCAATGCTGATGCGGCCCTCAATGAAATTGAGTTTGACACCCCTGCCCTACACAAAATATAGTGATCCACAGTGGAATGGAGGGAGGGTTAGTGTATGTTTTGAGATCTGTCTGCAGTCTTCTTGGAGTAACTGGGTGCCCAGGAGAAGAACTGTACAACTGTTGAAAACTTGAGAAAAATTGGATTTTAAGCATAAGCTTCTGAGTAAGAGGCAGAGATTTAGGTAGGGAGAGTTGGATGCGCCTCCCACAATAAAAAGGAAGGTATTGGGATTTTACGCTCATTCTGGAGCCTACTGAGAGGATTTGGGGGAAAGGCATAGAATGTTGTTTTTAAGGAGCTGCTATACTGGGAGTTGAAAATTATGGATTATTTAATTAATATTCATAATAATTTAGCAATAGATTTGAATGAATTTGAAATAAATTATTATCAGTGGGCAGAGTCTTACCCAGTATGATACATTTTAATTGTGGACTTGTAGATTAGGGCAAATTACTGGTTTTTGTTCATTAAATATATTAATTTGGTGATCAGCATTATTAATGATCAGTATGTTAATTAATGAACCAACCAAGATTCTGAAGCTGATTTATTTTATTTACTAGATAGAAGAATGGGGTCCATTTGATTTTATTTTTGGCTCAACTCCTCCAGTAGCAAAATTTTACAAACATTCATCTGGTAAGCAACTAAATCACATCTAAAATGAAAATATTGATATAAGTACCTTGGATTCTGGTTTGTTGAAAACCATTTATCCTTTGGATTGCATTTTTCCCTCTTCTGTAAATAGATTTACTTGGGAAATTTTTTGATGGTTCCATTGATGTTAGTTATCTTCCAGAAAAGTATTTATAGCATTGTGGTCTGGCCATGCTACACATTCCTAGGCATATTTTGTTCTATTCAAGCAAACAAAATGATCCTAAAAGAAACAAGATATTAGAGCAATCACCTGTAAGATTTCTCAAATCCTCCATGCACTAACTTTGCCCTCACTGCCAGAAAAAGGAAAGGTTGGACCCAGATGTTGCTGAACCACATCTTCCAAGCTTGTTAGGGAACACAGCAAATTTGAGGTACCCTGGAAGTTGTATTTCAACAATGCCATAAACGCATTGTGAGTTCATGTCCCCCCCTCGTCCTTCTCTTCGTTAAACTAGACATACCCAATTCCAGCAACCGTTCCTTATATGTTTTAGCCTCCAGTCCCCTAATCTTGAATCTGAATAATCTTAGTCTTAGTTCAAACATAACCCATTTGTTCTCACTACTATTGGCTATTATTTACATAGTAGAGTTTGGTGTAGTGGTAAAGGCTATCAAGGCTAGGGGACAGAATTCTGCCTTAGTGATGAGGCCAGTTGGGTAAACTTGGGCCAGTCACACACTCTCACCCCTAGGAAGCAGGCAATGACAAACCACTTCTGAAAAACTTTGCCAACATAACTGCAGGGACTAGTTCAGGAAGTTGTCAGGAATCCAAATTGACTTGAAAGGCCCAAATAAAAAAAGGTGGATACCATAAATCCAATAGGCCAATATTATATTTTATCAATTTAAGAATTTTAATACGCACTTCTCTGGTACCACTGCCGTAAGCATAACTTGAAATTCACACTACTGTATATAACTATAGCTGACATGAATCAATTACTAGTAATTCAACAACTTTCCCCTATAGTAAATTATTCTAATTTATACAAGCTGCATCCTAACCATACTGGCTACGGAATTCTGGAAGTTGAAGTCCACACATCTTAAAATTCCTAAGTTTGAAAAATACTGCTGTAAGGATTATTTTAGCCATTGATATTTGTGGCAGTAGCCAAAGAGCTAGATGGTATAACTTCTTGCTACTTCCAGATCCATCATTTATAATCACCAAAATTGGGAGAGGTGGCTGGATCACCAGTCCACATACATAAAACGTAACATTACAGGTAGTCCTTGATTTATAACCAGTCAACAAAACACTTCAGGCTGTTGTAAAATGTATTACACATGGTCACATGACTGTATTCCAGGTACTTGTCAACACATTTATGACAGCTTCTAGCATCTCATAGTCATGTGACTGGAATTTGTGACTTACTTTTTTTTACAGTTTCTGGCATTTTTGTGTTTCCAAATTTACAGCCAGGTGATTTACTTAATGATTGCCCTAAAAGCAGTTATAAAATTAGGTTTGATCAAGTTGGTGCCTGATTGATTTACAACCACCATGACTTACAACTGAAATTTCAGCCTCAATTGTGGTCATTATGTACCAGTGAATTACTGATATGAGACAATTTCCTAACTGAATGTTATTGAAAAGGTCCAAAATTCTGGACAACTGAGAACAACGTATAGTATCTATCACTTAAATAAAGTGTAATTTATTTTTAGAAACCATTTTCAAAAGCTACTTACTGTACAGACAAACTGTTTTCTTTCTTTCTTCCAAAGCCTGGTATTTTTACCAATATTTTCGTATACTTCAGTATGGAAGTCCTGAAGAAAAAAATAAAAAGCCATTTTTTTGGCTATTTGTAGACAACATTGTCTTGGATGAAGAAGAGAGAGATGCAGCTTCTCGCTTTTTTCAGGTTAGTTGGAAATAAATTGTTATTGAGAAGTGAATGAACTGAGTTTGCATTACTTATTTAAATTCCTAACATTCGTGTAATTTTTTACTGGAGCAATACAAAATATGATATTGGCTCTGCATGCATCCCTGACATATCCAGGAGAGATTTCCATTCATCCTGTTGGCATCCAAAATGAAACTCGGATGCACAAACATGTGATTACAGCAAGCTTGCATTAAAGCTGATTCCCAATTTATTCCCAAGCCTCATATGAAATGGTCCTGGAAAGCAGTTCTACATTCCATTGTGTGGGAATCTGCAAACCTCACGCAGTTTCCCAGCTGATCCATAGTCTTCTCCCATGATAAAATCGCCACAGGCTGAGAGCAAAATGGTAGTTATTTATTCCTCTTAGTGGTCCGCTTTTTTCATATCAACTGAATATTGATCCATTGGTTACAACAGGAATTGACTGACCAACTTGTTGCCCGAGCCTGACATTGTGGGCTGAGAGAGAGACTGGCCCAAAGTTACTTAGCTGGTTTTCATGCCTACATCAGAATCAAAACTCCAAGTCTCCTGGCTGAATTAAATGAAATTGTCTATAGGTTGTCCTTGACTATAATGCAGCCTGCCTATTACAGTCACAAGTCATGACAGTCATTAAGTGAGGTGTCCATGTGACCACCTCACTTAATGACTCCAATCCCATTGTAGTTGTTAAGCAGCTGCATAGGTTGTTAAGTGTAGCATGGGGAGACCTTGGGAGGCCTAGTACAGGTCCAGACCTGCACTGCAGCACCTCCTGAACTTACCCAAGGCCTGCTCCTGGCTGACATGTGGCCTGCTGCTCTGTATAGGGAGGCTGAAGGATGGATTGCTGAGGTCCAGAAATTGTGCTTGAGGAGAACTGGCCTGCGCTACCCTTCAGCCTTCCTGGAGGCTGCAGGGCACCATCCAGGAAGTGGGCAGCATTTTGGGGACAGTGCTACATGGCCTCCACTGTGAAAGTAGGTCATGAAGTGGAGCAGCTGCTTCTTGAAGATCTATCCAAAATTAGGCGACCAATCTGTGATGGGATGGTGGGGAGAAAGTTGCGGTACCCAGTGGGGTGAGAAGCAGATCAAAGGCCTGCAGGGACCCAGTGGGGCATAAAAGCAGGCCCAAGACCTTGCACAATGCAGAAGGATGGGAGAGGGGAAATAGGCAGGAGGGCACTGCAGCATCCCCACAGTCGGTCGTAAGGCTGGGCATATTGCCAAATGCCCAAATTTTCTTCATATGACCATGGGGGCATTGCAATAGCTTTAGGCAGGGGTCATAAGTCACTTTGTTCAGCAACGTCATAAATTTGAACAGCTGGTAAATGAATAGTCATAAGTCGAAGACCACCCATAGTTCTGTATTATGTGGAATGGTCATCATTCTAATGTTTCAGGTATAAATATGTTTGTTTTACAGATGGAAGCAGTTCTCAGATGTAAACAAGATGATGGCAATGTCCAGAACGCAGTGCACATCTGGAGCAACATTCCATCTGTTAATAGGTGACTAACTTAGCATATTCTTTTAAACCTGAATTAATGTAAAGCGTTGTAAGTAATTTAGGAAATCCTCAGCCTCCTTAATAGATCTTTGCTTTTTTTTTACTATTAAAAAAGCAATAACGAATTTGCAATAATAAATTTTCAGAATTAGATACAGCTAAGGTTCCTGGATTTGTGCATAACTAAACTGGAATGATGTTAAATATCATGAATCACAGCACTCCCCCTCATCTCCTAAACAGCAAGACAATGTGGTATAAGATGTTTGGTCCCCTTCAGATATTTTGTTGGATTGCTGTTCCTTTTATGCCCAGGAACTATATAGCTATTGGTCAATGCACCAGGGGAATCTAGGTAATGTTTCATGTGAACTTTCACACAAAACCTATCATTTGATGATAAAGTCACATTCCAGTGTAAATCAATTCCTACAATACATCCGTGGGTGGGTAACATGTGCAACAACAGTTAAATAATATACCAATGTCATTATAAAGGATGATTCCAGGAGTGCTTTAGCTGACTGTCAAGTAAATTTATTACAGCCAAAAAGTGTATACAGTAACTATTGGTAATTTTGAGATTTTGCAGTTATTCTCCAAATATGTGTCATATGACTATACAGCATTAGCAAGAAAAAGATGAACCAATGTAGTTAAATTTGTATAATTTTCTTTATTAAATATAATTTGGCTCTCTGCATTTCAGTTTTATGAGAACTACAGTATAATTTCTCTAAATGAAGTAAGAGATATAAAATGAGATTAAACAGCAGGGTACAATATTGTTTATAATAAATAACATTTGAAAATATGAGTCAACTAGCCATTTTCATTTTTAGGAATTCTGGCTACAATTTGGCTTAGTTTTTCTATCAGAGGTTTCTCGCAGGGGTAGGCAACCTTGGCTCTTTTATGACTCGTGGACTTCAACTCCCACGAGTCATAAAAGTCCACGAGTCATAAAAGAGCCAAGTCCACGAGTCATAAAAGAGCCAAGGTTGCTTACCCGTGATCCAAGGGCAATGTTTGCTCTATATTTTTTTTATTTGATCCCTAAAATAGAAACCATATGTATAAAGGTGTATAGGTAGTTATAATAGTTTATTTAGGGCTTCGCGGTTACAATAACACTGAAAAAATGACTTATGATTGTTTTTCACATTTACGACAGTTGCAGCATTGTGATCAAAATTTGCGATGCTTGGCAACTGACTCATATTTATGATGGTTGCAGTGTCCTGGGGTCACGTGATCACCTTTTGTGATCTTCTGACAAGCAAAGTCAAGGGGGAAGCCAGATTCATTTAACAAACATGTTACTAACTTGACAATTGCAGTGATTCATTAATAACTGTGGCAAGAAAGGTCATAAAATTGGGCAAAACTCACTTAACAAATGTCTCACTTAGCAACAGAATTTTTGGGCTCAATTGTGATCATAAGTAGAGAACTACTGTGTTTCCCCCAAAATAAGACCGGGTCTTTTTTATTTTTTTATTTTGCCTCCAAAAGAGGTACCAGGTCTTATTTTGGGGGGAGGGGTGTCTTTTCCATTCACCTCCAGCACCGACAGCCCACTCAGCCGGCCCACTTCTTCTGTGGCCGAAGGAGCAGCTTCATTTTGCAGCTGAGAATGGAGCTCTGGCCTGCATTTCGCAGTGAGGCCTTTCCAGAAGGCCTCTGCAGCCGATAACCAAGCAATGGATTGAATCCATAGCTCGGTACTTGGCTGCAGTGGCCTTCCTGAAAGGCCTCTGACTCCAAAATGCAGGCCTGGGGACACTGCAGAAGAAGTAGGATGGCAGAGAGGCTGGTTGCAAGGTAAGCGGGTGCAGGGCACGTGGGGCAGCTCCACCCCTCCCCAAAACTAGGGCTTATTTTCGGGGTAGGTCTTACTTCCGGGGGAAACACAGTACCTGTACTTTATTCAAAAATACAAAGGGTAAACGAGAAAGAATTTCATTTATAATATTTGGAAAGCCACCTTTTTATAGCCAGAGAAGTTCTGTACTTTTAACATATGCAAAACTGAGTGGGAACATGGAAGAAGGGGGAAAAAATTCTACCTATCATATTGGTATCCAAAACATAATTTTGTCATGAATTTGGCATCAGCATCTTTAAATGTGGAACTATATGCTGTATTGCACAAAGAGGCCTTGTAAGATCTCCAAAGGTAAAATGGCCCAAATAGAAAACAGGATAATCCTTTATGTTAGGTTGAAATAAAAATGTAAGTGAAATGCTGAACAGCCCACTGAAAAAAATGTAGATTTTTTGTGTGTGTGTGCTTACTTGCCTGACTGTTTTTGTTGTTGTTACATAAATGTTTTCTAATTCATTTCTAGCAAATATTCTGCTTCAGAACTGAACATGGATTTATCTCTCTTGGCAGAGAACATTTGCAGATCTAGAATTTTCTCTCAACCTCCAGCTACATTGATTAGGGAGTTTTTTGTTCCTTTGAAAGACTATTTTAGGGCCTTTTCATAAGCTAATCTTTTGCCTTGAATCCAAAGCAAAGGAAGCCACTGCAGTGTGACTTTTAATGGGTATCTTGCTTTGCAAATGAAATTATGTTCAGTATGAAGATAATTTTCAGTATTTTTCTATAACCATTATGCTCATGCTGAACATAATTTCATCTCCAGATTCATTCGCATCAAGCTACTGATCAAGCTCTTCTTCCTCTAATCTGTTCGTAATATGGTTTAAAAACATTTATAGGCAATCTTATTGCTTGCTTTTTAATTTTAAATTTCAGTTTAAACATTTTTTCATTCCACATGTTTACAAACTATGTATTCCTTTTTGGGGAAGTTACAGTGCATAATTTCATGCTGAATATATTTAAGTTAGTAAATGCAGGTTTAAATTTTAAAGTGCAAAATATATAAACACAATGCCCTGATAAACATATAGAAATATCATAATTCATGATTCCAAATGTCTCATAAGGAGAATAAAAAGGGAAATGACCAATGATAAACAATGAAAAGATAATACTTACATTTATATATACTTTATTTTGATGATTTTTCTAAATAACTATTTGTAATAAAATGTTTTCTGGTCTTAAAATAATTTAATTCTTTATGTAGATTCCCATAGAAAATAACTATCTATAAAGCTTGTGAAATCTTGTCATATTATTCTAAATTCTCTTGACTGAGGACTCTTGCTTACTGAATGTCCTCCTAACAATAGTATGAATATACCCTGTAATCTTTTTATATACATTTCTTTGTGACACCTCTTTCAACTCAGCCCTAGTCTACACCTTAAATTTGTCTTTAGCTGTGTTAGTTTAAAAAGAATACTTTTCCTCTTTTCCTCACAGAAATTTTGGTATATGATCTAAGGCAGTGATGGCGAACCTTTTAGAGACCGAGTGCCCAAAAACTGGCCCCGCCCTTGCTCCACCTCCCTCCTCCGCCCCCGCTCTGCCCCCCAATCCCCTGCCCCGCCTGTCCACAGGACCACTCACTGCCTCCAGGGCCCACCGCAGATCGCCCAGGCAGCCCAGCAGTGCTATGGCAGCCACATCCTCTGCCTGCGCCCTGCAGCATCAACTGCATGATGGGGTGTGAGGGCAGAGTCTTGTCTACATTGCCTGGGTGCCATGTCCTTGGCTGCACTGCTCCATGTGGGCCACGCTCAAGGGCGACTCTCCTTCAGGGGGGCTGCTGGAGAGGAGAGGGTTGCGGGGAGAGGCAAGGCTGGGGCAACGGCACATGTGCCCACAGAGAGGGCTCCGAGTGCCACCTCTGGCACCCGTGCCATAGGTTCGCCACCACTGATCTAAGGCATTTAATCAACAATATGGTTCATGATAGGTCGATTGTTTAGAATAGTGTGGGTATTTATCTTCCATTGGTTGCTGGGCACTGCACATTATGACTTTTGTATCTTGCTGCAGAAAAAAACTAAACAACTGGCTTTTGCAGAAGCATCTGCCTATACATAATGGCTAATTTGTACTTTCCATAGTTTTTACCAGGTCTTATCCAAGCTCCTTATAAACACAGGCTTAGCACTCTTTTGAAAGAATGCTAGACCTGCATTAGAAAACTCAGAAAACCCCAATCCTTTGCTACACAAGTTGGATTTAAACCGCAAAAGACAACCAGATCTTGTATTGTTGCCCCTATCATCTATGAATATCTTATAGATTTTCCATTGCTTCTGATATAAGTGGCGTTACACAACCAGTTTCAACTAGGATGAAGGGGGTCCATTTTGTCTATGCCACATTCAACATGTATATGGTGTGAGTCACCACTACTCAGTACCTGTATTACCATTTGCAGCACTTGGTTGAAGAGAGAGTTTGTTTGTTACGAATCATTCCTTTTAGCTCTGTCCAGCCCATTTCTCCACACCATTTAGTTGAAGCCACACATCACAGATGAAGAGGAATTGTAGGATAATGTGTGAGAAAAGAGGAGAAAGTACTGTGTCCCTAATGCTCATTAGACCTTCCTCACATCTAGGATCTGCCTGTTAGTCTATTTCTGAAGATAGGAATTGTGATTTTTAAGAGTACATGTGCAAAAGTAGTGTGTCAGTTGTGTGTCACAGGGGTTTCATTTTATTTCAAACTAGCTGTACCCAGCCACGCGTTGCTGTGGCTCAGTCTGGTTTTTTTTTCAAAAAAAGCATGGTTTTACCTGTCATAGGTGTGACATCTATATAATAGTAGCTATATAAAAACACGCGCGTATTCTAATCCAACGTTGTGTCAAAATTTCAAAGCAATCGGTGAAGAACTTTCGGAGATTTAAGAATTTGAACAAACAAACATTTACATTTTTATTTATATAGAAAGAGCACTAAGTTTCCTTTCAGAAATATCAATATCAAATATCACAGGTATCAGATCAGGGGTCCCCAAACTTGGGGCTGTGGCCCATTACCAGGCTGTGCCACTAGCACCGCGCCATGGAATGTAAAAATGGGACACTGCAGGGTGCGAAAATGGGATGCCATACCTCGGAGTGTGAAAATGGGATGCCACCTCCCCACAGGGCTTGAAAATGGAACACCGCATCTTGGGGGGTGAAAATGGCACTGTGCCACTCAAGAATGGGGCAGGGCTACCGAGTATCACATGGGTGCTAGCACCACCCCATTTGCGTCACAGCTCCATTCGCACGCGTTTGCATGCATGCACATAAAATGCTGCCCTCTCCCTTTCCCTCCAGTCTGCCAACCGAGAAAGGCTGGTGACCTCTCAGTTAGACCACTTGAGAGACAGCTAAATCAGCCATTCAAGTCACCATAATTTCAACTTCCTTGAAGGAAAGACAAAATTAATACCATGTCACTGTGCTCTTGAAAACTTGTGCCCATATTCTGGTACATTCATTTTCTTCATATTTTCATTCAGGTTAGGTGGCAGTCCACAACTACAGAAATACAGCAACGTCTTTTATCTGGATCATTTTCAAAACTATTTAAAATTATGGCTTCAGACATCACTTTCATGATTCCACACTCATAGCCATTTATTTATAATCAACGTATTAGATCTGGAATGTTCAGCATGCTGGGTCACTAAAAAAAAGAACTAGGTCAAATTTTGAAAAAGTCCAAACTTTTTTCAGTTCATAGGCATACATTTAGGGAAAAATGAAGAAAAACAAACTAGTTAACTGGCTATTCATTTTACAAGTTCACATAGTTCAAAACTGACAGATTTTTATGCTACACTGTAATATAATTTCTTGGGAAGAAAAAATACAAACAAACCCCTACAGAACTCTCACTGTCATTTTAGAAACACAACATGTAGAAAAGATTTCCTGCTGCTCAAAACAGTATTAGAATAGTAACCAGATCTGTAACAAACTTATCAAACTTCAACATTTTAAACCAGAGGTCACCAACCTTTCTCAGTTGGTGGACCGGAGGGAAAGGGAAGGGGAAGCATTTCACGCTGCGAGCATGCACGTGATGCAAATGGGGCGGGGTTACCAATTGCGTGATATTTGCTAACCCTGCCCCATTGTTGTACGGTGTGGTGGTGCTGGTTTTTGTGCCCCGAGGCATGGCGGTGTCCCGTTTTTGCACCCCGAGGCATGGCGTCGGCCCATTTTCATGCCCCGAGGCATGGCGGCATCCCATTTTCGCACCCCAAGGCACGGCATCAGCCTGTTTTTGCGTGGCACGGCATCACGTTTTTGCACCCCAAGGCGTGGTGTCAGCCCATTTTTGTGCCCCACAGTGTCCCGTTTTCGCCCCGGGCGGCAGCGGCCCATTTTTGCACCACACAACGTGGCATCCTATTTTTGTGCCCTGCAGTCGTGGCGCTAGCGCAAGTGGGGGAGTGTGCACACACATGTGCACACACTGGCCAGCCTGTCCCATGCCCGGTGGCCAGCAGCCCACGGCCCATTACCAGGCCGCAGGCCACAGGACCCCTGCTTTAAACAATAAGTAATCTTGTTACAACTGAAGGAATTTGATTTGAACCATTGTTTTTAGTCAAAAGTTGAAATTAAATATTCTATTATTTGTAGCATATTTCTTCTTTATGATTTGTATTCTATGCCTTCTTGGACAATTAAGAATGGGTATAACTAAATGCTCCTGAACAACATATATGCATTAATGATCTTAGAAATGAAGGGCACCAATATGCCACCCTTCAGTTGAGTACGCTACATCTGTCACCAGCTGATACTAAGAGAACTATAATGCAATACATGTGAACAGGGCTTTTTTTGTCATAGAATGCCCAGAACGGAGTTCCGGCACCTTTTTTGGATGGAACCTTGTAGGGTAGGCAAGGCGGGTTGTATGACATGTGTGAGTTCCGGCACCTTTTTTTTTTTTCTTTCCCAAAAAAGCACTGCATGTGAAGAGAACAATGTTGGTAATGTTTCATTGTTTTAAGATTGAGTATTTAAAGATGTCTTTATTATGTGGCTACATCAACTTGCAAGGCCTAGGAGTGTAGAGGTAACCCACAGCATTGGCCTGTTATTGAGGAAGGTACTGTATTTGCCACAATAAAACATTGTGTATGGATCTCCCAAGCTTTTCTGCTTTGCAGATCTGGGGGGAGGCAGGAGGGGAGGGGATGGTTCTGTGCACGCACGTAGCTCCATTTGCATGAGCAGAGGGCACATGGGCCCATCTGTACACACATCATGTTTCTAATGAAATCTTTTCTAATCACTATTCTAGATTATTTAGAAAATAAGACTTTTGTATTCCTATGATTTGTTAAACTGAAGAAGGAAATGTAACAAAACTAAAGGCGGTAATTTCTTTATTTAGGAAGACTTTGATTTCTATTAGTATCTTACAGACCAAGTATCTTGGTCACAAAGCAGTACTTTATCACATAAACAGCACATACATTTCCATCCTCAGCTTATCTAACATTAAGTGAAAAATTATTAGATATATGTGCAATTTTACAGAGATGCTATACTATCTATGAATATTATTAAAATTAACAAGTCACAATCTGCTATGCAGTTAAAATGTAATGAATCTTTCTTGTAATCTAAATTAAGCAAGATATCAATTCAGGGAAAAGGGAGATGTGTTCCCATAAACT